TCACTTCTCTCACCCTCTACCCTCAAGTAGACCCCAGTGTCTTTTGTTCCCTTTGTCTTCATGAGTTCTCATCATTTAGCTCCCACTTATAAATAAGAACATGCAGTATTTGGTTTTCTGTTCCTGCATTAGTTTGCTAAATATAAGGGCCTCCAGCTACATCCATGTTCCTGCAAAAGACATGATCTTGTCCTGTTTTCTGACTGTATAGTATTCCATGGTGTATATGTACCACATTTTCTTTATCCAGATAATTTGTCATTGATGGGCATTTAGGATGATTCCATATCTATGCTTTTGTGAATAGTGCTGCAGTGAACATTCATGTGCATGTATCTTTATGGTAGAATAATTTATATTCCTCTGGGTTTTTACCCAGTAATGGGATTGCTGTGTTGAATGGTAGTTCTGCTTTTAGCTCTCTGAAGAATCACCATACTGTTTTGCACAATGGTTGAACAAATTTACACTCCTACCAACAGTGTATAAGTGTTCCCTTTTCTCCACAACCTCGCCAGCATGTGTTGTATTTGACTTTTAAATAATAGCCATTCTGACTAGTATGAGATGGTATCTCACTACGGTTTTGATTTGTATAAAACAAAATGCATTTTCAGAGATTAAGAAACAGTCTCCATTTACCAGGTAAAAAGTATAAATTTGTACACAATAAATAAATAAGATATTGTCCAAATATATAAACCAATTTGACAGAACTACCATAAGGCATAGAGAAATCCATAATCACAGTGGGAGAAATTAACATACATCTCTTGGTAATACAGAACAAACAGAAAAACTTCAAAGAAAAAAGTAAGGACTGAACAGAACAATAAACATATACATTGATCTAATAGATGTATACAAAAGACATACTGACTAAACAGTCACAAAGCTAAGAACAAAATTCTTCAGCTTACTCTAATTAAAAATAAATCAATGCTATTTAAAATTATCATACTATTTAGTGTTTCCATTTTGATAGCTCCAAATATCTTAGCTGGAGATTTCCTTTTTGAAAATGCAACTTTATCCTCAGGTAAAAAATCTTCATCTAATACCTCTTCCATTTTCTGAGCTACAAAAAAGATGCTTTTAATCCATTAAATAGAGAAATGAATTTATCAAAAAAAACCTCTGTGATTCAAAATACATATCAATTATCCCTCAATATTTCCTCTCATGTTTTGAAATAATATAATCAAATACCACGTTGTTGAGACAGTGAGTTATAGGCTGAGTATGTAAAGTGTAAAAATATAGAACTTTTCAAGAAAACGGTTTCATAAGGTATTCATATTTTATAATAAAGTTAAATTTTTATAACAGATATGGGTAATAAAAATGATAAAAACATATTAAAAATAAACTTTAAAAGGAGATTCAAAAACAGATCAGGTAAGAAATACAGAAAACATAAGTGATAGTATATTAACCCACAAAATATCAGTACTTACATTAAATATGAATGTGTTAAATGTTATATTTTCAATTCAAAGATTACCACATTGGATTTAAAAAATAACTAGAATACATTTAACACATATAATACAGCTAAGCTATAATAATACAAAAAGGTTGAAAGTATAATGATGAAAAACTGTGTTCTGCAAATGCTTATATTAAAAAGATGCTATGTTAATACCTGACAGATCAATGGCAAAGAAAGTTACTACAAAATGTCCATCATATCGTGGGTGAGGCTACATGTAGGTGGGGGAAGGTGGTATATGAGAAATCTCTATCTTCCTCTCTACTGTGAACATAAGAATGATCCAAAAATTAAGTCTATTTTTAAAAATGTCCACCATAAAGACAATAGTTTCGGCACTCTTAAGAAAACTTAACAATTTAAAATGTCTATGTATATAATAAAGAAGCTTTAGAAACAGAACAAAAACTGGCAGAACTACAAAGAGATAGAGAAATAAGTAATCACAGTAGAATTTAAAATACCTTTCTCATAAATGATAAAATAAACAGAAACTCAATGAAGTTCAGAACACATGAAAAATATAATTAATCAACGACAATGGAGAATATACATATATACACACACACATTTTCTAGATATACACATATATGTATACATGACACATAGAAATCATATTTATGATTGAACATATAAACAAAGGAGAGAATTTTAACTAAAATCATTACACAATATTCTTAATGATTGTATTTACTTTGAAGTCTCACTTTTCTGCCAGTACTAAGTTTTGTAATTTGAGATGGGCTTTTTAAAATTAAAACTTTATTTCAGGTGGAAGATTTTCATCTACTATTTCATCCATCTTCTCAGTTGCATAAAGAAAGGCTTTTAACCCAATAAAAAATGAAAAACACTTTACTGTAAAGTCTCTGAATTATTAATATATAGAAAGAACCATTCAAAGTTTCCTATCAGTTTTGTTTTGTTCTCTTTTTTTGAGACAGAGTCTCACTGTCGCCCAGGCTGGAGTGCAGGAGTCGATTCAGCTCATTGCAACATCCACTTCACGGGTTCGAGGAATTCTCCTGCCTCAGCCTCCTGAGTTGCCCGGACTACAGGCGCCTGTCGCCACGCCCAGCTAATTTTTGTATTTTTAGTAGAGACGAGGTTTCACCGTGTTAGCCAGGATGGTCTCAGTCTCCTGACCTTGTGATCCGTCTGCCTCAGCTTCCCAAAGTGCTGGGATTACAGGTGTGAGCCACTGTGCCTGGCCCTATCAGTTTTATAAGACTTTACACTAGTCAATACAATTTAAATAAATGCCACACAATAAAACCTCTGATGCATTTTCAAAATGAATCATGAAGGTAAATGCAAAACCCATCAGAGTACTCTTCCTGAATGTATGTGGAGGCACTCTTGTTACTTCATACATACACTTAGAAAGTTGAAATTAGACTTTATTTTACTAAGTGTACTCACATTTTTAAAAGTTTTTTATGACACAGGTGACACACTGAATAATTAAACTGATTAAAAGTAATTCCAAAATAAAGAAAGAAAGAAAATAGAAAGTAATCTGAATCAAACAAAAAAAATTGAAAAACACCCCCACCCAAAATATTTAAATCCAAATATATCAGTAAGTACAATAATTGTAAATGGATTACATATTTTACATATTCTAAAAACAAAGACACACATTGAACTGATAAACAATTTAACTATAAGTTCTTTATTAGAGATATGACTGAAAAAAATGCAAACATTAACCAAAATTACTCTGTAGTAATTATGTCAATGTCAGACAAAATAGACTTTTAGTCAAAAGACCTTACTAGAGACTAAGATGATCCCTTTCATAAAAATAAAAGGTTGAGTTCATAAGGAAAACCTAACTTTTTACTTGTATACATCTAATAATGTAGACAGTATAAGGAAAATGGACAGTACTGTAAGAAGAAATAGGTAAATCCACATAGTGGGATAATTTAATATACATCTCTCATTAATTGATAGAATAATCAAGATCCAAGGAAATCTAGAAATAAATTTAAATAACACAACAAAAAATGAGTTCAGTGGATGCCTATAACATTGTAGCAGAATACATATTCATGGACAAAATTCTGCTTAATTAAAATTTCATTAATGTAATTACAAATAATTTAATAATATTAATTATTTCCATATTTACTATGGAATCTCTTCTTTCTAGCAGCTCCAGTTGCAGGCAAAAGATTTTCCTCTGATACCTCATCTTTTTCTGGACTACAAGAAGGAAGGCTTTTAAAAGCACTAGAGAACTGAATCTATGGTGCAACCTCTAGATTCACAATATATATTAATTACTCAATGATATTTTGTCTTTTTTTAATGATATAAGCACATCGGTGTCTAGTTAAAATATAAGCATAAAAATACATTTTTACTTGTGCCAAAAGCTGTTCTGTTAATTTTTATATACATGGGTATTAAATACATTTTATTTGTAAACATTATTTTATTTACTACTATAAACATTATTATAAATACTTGTATATTTAAAATTTTTCCTTTTCTTATTATATTCATACTTTAGGTAAAGCTTAAAATTTTTGGTACCAAATATTGCTAAGGAAAAATGTATAATGATAAAAAATAGAGTAGAAAGAGAGTGAAAGAAACATACCATGTAGGAAAAATAGGAGAAGCCAAGAAAAATGATATAATTGCACCTAAAAAATCAATAATTAGATTATGTATGGTTATAAGAGATAATTAAAAGAAAAAATATCAGACTAAATATGAGCATATACCAAACATCACATATTCTCTCTTGTAAGCTGGAGTTGAACAACGAGACATATGGACACGTCAGGGACAACACACACTGAGGCCTGTCTGGAGTAGGGGGCAGGAGTAGGGGCAGCATTAGGAAGAACAGCTAATAGGTGCTAGGCTTAATACCTGGATGATGGGTTGATCTGTGCAGCAAACCACAATGGCACACATTTACCTATGTAACAAACCTGCACATCCTGGACATGTACCCCAGAACTTAAAATTCAAGCTGATTTTAAAAAGAGTATACACAATTATAAGTTTCTTACAATAGACATAGCAAAATCACAAAGAAACAAAGAAGTTAATAGGATGAAAAAATGTATCAAGCAAATACCAACCGGAAGAAAGTTTGTGGAGCCATAATAACAGATAAAGTAGTTATTAAGGAAAACAAACAAAAATTATGAAAATGGTAAAGTGAATCCTTTCATAAGGAAAACACTGTTCTGTCTTTGAAGAATATAAATTTAAGTTTACTTGCACACACAAAAAAATAGAGCATTATAAGATACAAAGCAAAACCTGATACTTATACAAGAAGAAAGAGAAATCCACAAAGTGGCAGATTTGACACAGGTAACTCAGTAATTGTAAAAGAAACAAGTCATCAATAAAGATCTAGTAATGTGATGGAAATAAGTAGCAAAAGAAGCATATGGTTCAAGGCATATTTATGAACCAAGAACAAATTTCTCCTGAATTTAATAAAAATAATTGATAAGATTTATAAATAATTACTTACTTTTTCTTGAAGTTACTTTAGCTTGAAGTTTTTTGGTTTGAGATTCTCTTCTTGATAATAAAACTTTCTCCTCAGGCAACAGATGCTCAAGTGATATATCCTTTTTTTGGATTTCAAAAGGAAATGCTAAATAGAAAAAAAAGATAGATGTGCAATAGAACTTCTGGATATGCCAAGTAATCATCAGACTTTCCACCCATGGGAGTCAAATGAGAAAATCATATGAATAGTTTTCATGAGCATGTGAGGAGGTAGTGATACTACTTAGTAATTAACGACCATTCAAATACCAACCAAAAAGTATCATTACTTTTGTTCTCTAGTTATCATAGGGTATTCACACATTAGGTCAAAGTCAAAAGTTGATAAAATATAGTCTGAAGTACACATTGGTGAATCAAAGGAAAAGATCTGATGAGTTCAATATAAAATAATTTAAAGTTATCAATAATTATTATACTTACTTTTGTGCTTTTCCACTCCGGGATTTATTTGTTTCTTTTCTTGCATTTGGAGTTTTGACTTTGAATCTTGATGAACAGAAACCACATTTTCATTTGGTACTACAATATGAGCTATATCAAGAGATGCATTTAGTCCACCAAATGGAAAAATAAATCTATGAATGTATAACATGTACATTTCTCTTATTTTTATAAAGTTATAAGTAAATTACCATAATGCTATATCTGACACAAAAATAGAATAGTTTTAATGGCTGTTATGGAAGCTAACCCATTATTTCATAAATATTCTGAAGCATCAAATAAAGTTTATATTGGTCTCCAGGATTCATAAGTTTACACTTTAATACATAATCAAAATACTTACATATTACATGATGATTTATACTTTAGCTTAATATATAATCATAGGTCAAACAATGAAAATGCACATGCATAAGCTCATTCATTATAGCATTATTTGTAATTGCCACAAACAATGGTATAATTACAGTATATAATTATATGGAGATGGGGCTGAGAGTTTCCAGAGAACCTGTGAGCTAATTCGCACCCAAGGACTGCTGTTAGTTCTAAACAGCTACCAGGCAATGATAGACAGCCTATGTCCCAGCAAAGTATTGAGACTCATGGTTAAATTGTAAAGGATTTCTTTTTAAATGTAGAACCTTTTGAGATCACTTTACCTATCTACTGAAGGCACCTTAGAACATTAGGTATTCTTCTTAAACTTAATGAGAAAAAGTGGTACCTTGTGGAATGAGTCACTACAGATCCCCTCCTTCAGAGTATCAGGACAGAGAAGCTTCACTCAAGGAGGAGAAAGAAAGGGGGTATATGAGATGCCAACTTCAAGACCCTCTCATTCCTCAGCTTAGTAATTGCTTGGGCTCTTTTCACTTGGGCATACCCATGATGAACCTACCACTAAAATCATGTTTGGCCCACCCTTGCAGAGGCTAGAGCAGCCCTGTGAATCACAACGCTGGTAGTCCTTTGGTTCTACAATCAAGAGTAAGAACAATAGAGGAGGTGGTTGACCAGACTCAAATTTCTAGGTTCTTTCATGCCACTCTTGCTGAGTTTCCAATTCAATGAAACTCCCGCATAAGGTCAGGTCATATGTTCTGTGACAAAATCCAGAACTTAACTGAAAAATTTTCAGGCATGGGAAAAGCAGCAGTTCCTGAGGTAGAAAAGACTGACCAGCAGGAAAGTGATGTATTAGGTTGGTGCAAAAGTAATTTAATGGCAAAAACCGCAATTGCTTTTGCACCAACCTAATAAAATGGCAATCAAGCGCCCTCTCCTGAATGATGCATGTAGAGACAATCTCTAAATCGGGCTACTAAACAATGAAGTTGATGGGCCCTACTAGGGTCAGCACATTGAGGACTCTATGATTAATAAAATATTACTCCCTCTACCCTTCCCTGTGAATTTGGAGATGAATTGATGAGCCCCTCTAATTTTTACTGAGAACTCTCATCTTCCAACAATGAACAAGACCAGGGGTTAGGCTAAGTCCCAAATCCCCAGTGGGGACCCGGTTCAGAGTTAAATGGGAAGGTGTGGATAATTATATTTCGTGGGCCTTTGGATACTGGTATATAAGTGACTATGAATATATACTCCAGCATCAGAATGAAGGGGAAACTGATAATTCTCTCTAGTTTGAAGTCTGAGGTCACCACCAATGGGGACTTTATCTAGACCCAACTTTGGGTGGGTCTCTTTGGCCAATTACAAATTCTACTGTTATAGTGCACACTACACAATATATTTTGTTATAAATATATCACTAAGTGAACACCTGCTCACCTTTGCCCACAAGCACTGAAGAAAATTGCTCAGTTAGGGTCATTTTAGTGGGGCATGTGAAAGGCCATGAACCTACCAGACTACCTTGTGCTGTTGTTTCTCAAAAACAATACTGATTGCTTGGGGTAAAAAAGGAAATAAATGCCTTCACTGCTGTACTTAAGGATGACAAAGTTTTCTGTGAGACTAATCCTCCATTGAACAGCTCCATCTGACCTGTGCACATGACCTCAGATGCACACAGCCTCAATGCATTATTGGCTGCTCAATGCCACAGTGCAGCCCTGGGTACTGGCAGTACCTGACTTTGTGACTGTCATAGACGTTACTGCCTGAGAGAAAAGAACTTAGTATACAACAACTGATATACAAAATTCCTTTTTCAGCATCCCTGTCCACACCAATGATAAGGATCAGTGTATTCTCATGTGGAGTAGATTGCAATATATCACTAATGTCCTTCTACAAGACTACCCAAAATCCCCAACTATCTATCATCCATGGATAGGGCGTAACCTGGAAAAATTTCTGCTCTTGGAGGGTACACTAGCTTTCTACTATATTGAAAGCATTTTCCTGGTGGGTCCAGACACAGGCACCAACTAATAAAGACTGGCTGGGCCATTAATACATACAAAAACTTAGCACTAAAGTGAAATCCTTGTGTTGTAATCTGGGAAGGAGCACATCGCATTCCAGAGGAGATGACTGCCTATCTTTTGGTCCTCTCAATCCCCTAAAATGAAAAGGAAGCTCAATCATTGTTGGTCATGGACACTAACACTCCCCACCACACAAGAAACTTGGGATGGCCACCCATCTATGAGAGTACCAAGAAGACCTTACCTTTGTGTGGCGCTCAACTAACAAAATGCCCTAGGGCTAACCAACAAGCCTTCAGGACTATCCTTCTCCTTGGCTCCTGTAATTCCCACTTGCTCTTTGAGTTACAGATCTCAACAACCTCTCAGTTTGTTGACTGAAGGCTAGAGAAGAACAACATCGCTACACGTGATAAGTGATCATTGGGTATAATCTCCAGGAAACTGTAATCTCCCAGAGTCAGCTGAAAGGTACACTCTTTGAGATACTGTAGGCCAATTATTGGGCCTTGATAGATATTGAGTGCTTGTCCAATGGCTGTGAAATAATCTTATGACCAGAAATTCCAACATGAAGTTAACATTTTCATTTTTGCTCTCTACTTACCTTAAGGTGTTCATACTTCAGGCAAAGTCTACAATTTCCTTAAAATATATGCTGAAATACACATTCAGGAATCAAAGAAAAAGATCTTCTGATAAGTTCAATTTTAAAATAATTTAAAGTTATCTATAATTACTACACTTACTATTACGCCTTTCCCTTCCAGGAGTTACTTTTTTCTTTTCTTGCATTTGGAGTTTTGACACTGAATCTTGATGAACAAACATAGAATTTTTATCTGGTACTACAAAATGAGCCACATAAAGAGATGTATTTAGTCCGCAAAATGAAAAAACAAATCTATTGTGAAATCTCTATATTTGAAGTTTATAACAAGTATACAGCAATATTTTTTCTCATTTTTATAAAATTATAAGTAAATCACCATAATTGAAATCTGACATTAAAATGATGAAAATAGTTTTAATGGGTATTACAAAAGCTGTCTCATTATATCATAAATATTCTAAGGCATCAAGTATATTTTCTATTGGTCTTCAGAATTCATGGGTTATTTACACTGTAGGTTAATAATAATAATAGACCAAACAATAAAAATTTGTATGCACATTATTCATTACCATATTATTTGTAATTGCAAAATATTCAACACACCTAAATATTCAAGTATAATATATTGACTCAATAAACAAAGATATATACTGTAAATTATAATATGCTATAAATACTCTACATATCACTATACATAATACTATACATATTATGTAAAAATAATAAACGTTTCTATAAACTAACATGGAGGGATTTCTAGAAGATAATGTTAAGTGAAAAATAATCTTAAAAACAGGATATCTGGGATGGTAACTTTTGGGTCAGAAATAACCAATCAGAAAAAAATAGAAATAGAGAAATATTAACCTTTTCAAAATAAGACACAGGTAAAATAAGGAAGCAAACACTGTAGTTGGTTATCTACAAGACAACAGGGTAGGAAAAAGGAAGGGAATACAAAGAGAAGGACTGTGGCAGAAATTATATTCTTCTAAGAATATCTTCTGTATAATATTTACTTTTGGAGATAGGATAATGTTCTACATATTTGATATGGTTTGGACATGTGTCCCCTCCAAATCTCATGTTGAAATGTGATTTCTAAGGTTGGAGGTATTGCCTGGTGGGAGGTGTTTGGGTCATGGGGGCAGATCCTTCACAAATGGCTTGGTGCCCTCTCTATGGCAAGGAGTTCACATAAGATCTGGTTGTTGATGAAGATTTTGGGATGTCCCCCATCTCTCTCTTGCTTCTCTTGCCATGTGACATGCCCTTCCCTTCCACCATAGCTAAAATCTTCCTGAAGCCTCATCAGATGTTGAACAGATGTTGGTACCATGCTTGTACAGCCTGCATAACCATAAGCCAAATAAGCCTCTTTTCTTTATAAATTACCTAGCCTCAGGTATTCCTTTACAGCAATGCAAAATGCATGAACGCAATATTCTAAAAATAAAATTAATTCAATAAGGATAAGAAGCAGGAACTAAAACTGAAAGGAAACTTAATAAAATGAACCTACTACATGGAACAAAAAACAAGTACTAATTCATGTAACTAATAAATACAGTATTCGAAACATACCCTCAGTCTTGGGCAAGAGTGTTGGGGGCAGACTGCAAACAAATCATGAAATTCTTTTAGTATGTTTGTTTTTGTAGTAGCATATGCTAAGCAATTCTGTAAGTTTCAAAGTATTACAGGATAGAGCAAATGCATAAATTGGTTGATGCTTTGAGAGTCAGGATTCAAAATACAAAAGAAAGGACACACACATACAAAATGAAGGAAGTCAAGAATAAGCCCTGAGACACTAAAATTAAAGGTGTCCAAGAGGTCTCATGATTTCTAAAATATGTGTATTCATGTACACATGCATGCATATGTGCCCGTGCATGTTTATGTATAAATATATACACATAAACATGTGTATGTACATGTAAGTAGATATATACACATAAATATATATGTGTATTCTAAGGAGTATGGGTTCAAGTTAAAATCTTGTGTGTGATCTTTCAGGCACACCCATAGACAAGTATAAAGGTATTATCTGGCAGTTATCCTGGAAGACAGCTTTCCACCCCACACTGGATGTAACATAGAGCCAGTGCACTGTGGTCTCTGTACGGATGTGCAGGTATGGGTTCAGATCTCTCCAGACCAACCATGCTCTTACTCATCTCTGCACACCTAGCTCAGGAACCCTCCATTTGGAGTCCTTCTTGTGAGGGAGTAGAGAGTTCAACTAAGGCACTGTATTATTCAGGGGACTCTGCTTAGATGACATTACTGGGGAGCCTTGAAGACAACTTTCTTCTGACAGTGTTCAGTACTTTTCCACGCCTGGTCTTCTCCACATGCCACATCTATATAATGGCAAGAACTTTTTATTTGGGGTTCCCGTGGCAATGAAATGATCCCCCCATTTTTAAATAAAACATCTGCCACTCACCTGGTTCCTTTAATGGGGAAAAGTGGAATTCTGCTAAAGCTGGGCCCTTTCCTGCATAGACTCTTGCTTATATTATCACAGTATCTGAAAAAAGGCTTAATTATTCCTTTCAGTTTGACTTGTTATATTAATTGACTAACTCAATAACTGGCAGCTCTCTCACTGACAAAGTGGTACAGTGAGCAGAGTTGACCAGTAAATATGTTGCCTTTCTAGAAAGGAAAAGAACCCTGAGGATCCCATGGAGATTTTTTGGGAGATGTTAGAGAAATGCATGGGACACTCATGGATGATGGTAATGAATCCTTTGCAAGAGTCTGGGAGTCCCATTAGAGCACTTCGCCAGCCATGACAATGTGTCTCAGGAAGTATTTTGTGGGCCCTGGGGTTGCTTTGGGGGAATGCTAGTGATTGTTTATATAAGACTTTTCAGGTCTCAGGGAGAACTAATCATCCTTCCCTTTAGCTTCCAATTCCTTGGCTGAGCTTGCTTGGTGGGTTAAATTATAAACCCCAAAGAGGAACTCTAGGAAAGCTGGGGAAGCAATCCCTACCTAGTAATGCAATTTGAGAGGCAATGGCAATAAAAGTCATCAGAGACCCTGAGTTGCTGAGCTGCACCCAGTTACCAGTGTTAGCTCTAAGCATGTCTCTGACACTGAAAGACAGCCTGTGATGCAGCAAATTATTGAGACTCATGCCTAAAATGCAAAAGAATGTAGAACCCTTTGGAGTTACTTCACCCATCTATCTGAAGTGATCTTAGAGACTTGGGTTTTTCACCTCCATGATGTAGAAGGAAAACTTAGTGAGAGTGTCATCTTGTGGGGTGTATCATTATAGATCCCCACTTTCAGAGTATACTATTAGGAGCCACTTTGCCTAAAGAGGAGGAGGAAGAGAGGACTGGGATGAAAGCCTGCAAGCATCCAAAACCATCTACATTCTCAGCTGGATATTACTTGAGCTTAGAAAGATTTGGTCCAACACAATAAGTTCCTTGACTTTAAAAAACATAGTTGGACTATTCTTCCAATGTATACAGCTTCCCTGTGAGCCACCCTGGTGGTAGCTGAGACTGTTAACGAGACTCAGTTTTTTAGGTTCATTCGTTTTACTCCTACTGGTTATTGAACTCAATTAAACCTCCTCATAAGGCCATGCTGATCAGTCTGTGACACAATCCAGATATTCACTGATGACAAATCATCAGAATTGAAAAAGGAGCTGCTGCACAGATAGCAACAACTGGCTGGCAGAAAGAGTGATGTAAAACTTGTAATCACACGCTCTCTCCAGGACCATCTGGGCAAGCACTTTCACAACAAGATCGCTGGTTCTGGTTACTTATGTGTGGGTTCTCAAAGAGGAAATTGATGGGCTCTCCCATCAAGGAACTCATGGCAAGGTAGTGAGCCATGGTGCCCTAGAGGGTGGTCTGCTAGGGTCTACAAAGTAATGGATCCTGATTAATAAAGTGCTATTCCTTCTGCTCCTCTCAGTGAAGCTGCAGGAGAACTGGAGACTCTCATTCAACTCTTAACTGATGTCTCAGCTTTCAAAACTAAACAAGACTAAGTATTAGGCCAAGGTCCCTATGTCCCTATGAAGAACGGTGGTTGTTCTTTTCTTTTACCTTGTTATATAAGGTAAAAGTTCAATAGGGATATAGAGGAGCACTGCATTTCTTGGGCCTTTTGGATTTGGTGCACAACTAACTGTGATCTCCGTAATCCCTAACACTATGATTGGAGGGTTATGGGTTGAATTGTGCCCCTCTGAAACAGATAAGTTGAAATCCTAACCCTCAGTATCACAGAATGTGATCTTATTTGGAAATAGGAACTTTACAGAGATAAATGAAAATGCAGTCATTAGAGTGGGCCTTAATTTAATATAAATGTTGTCCTTATAAAAACAGAAAATTGGAGCACCCACACACACTGGGAAAATGACATGCGAAATTGAAGGCAGAGATTGGGGTGATGCATATAGAAGCCAAGGAATGTCAAAAATAGCAACCCACAAGGAGCTCGGGCAGAGGCATGGAATTGATTTTCCCTCTAGTTCTCAGAAGGAACCAACCTTGTCAACACCTTGGTCCCAGACTTCTAGCCCGCTGAGTATAATTTTTTGTTGTCGAAGCCACCCAATTTGTGGGTAGTTTGTAATGGTAGCCCTACCACTGGGAAGTGGATCACTGCTGTAACAAATATTTTAAAATGTGTAAATGACTTTGGAATTGGGTAATGGGTAGAGGATGCAAGAGTTTTGAGGTGTATGATAGAAAAAACTTAGATTACCTTGAAGAGATTGTTGGTAGAAATATGCATATTAAAGGTGATTCTGGTGAAGGCTCAGAAAGAAAAGGGAAGAACTACAGAGAAAGCTTCTCTCATCTTAGATATACACATATATTGTCATGAACAGAATGTCAACAGAAATATGAATGTTAAAGGTGCTTCTAGTGAGGTCTCAGATGGAAATGAAGAACATATTGGAAACTGGAGGAAAGGTGATCTTTGTTATAAAATTGCAAAGAGCTTGTCTGAATTCTGTCTGTTGGGTGGAAAGTAAAATTTGTAAGCAATGAACTTGGATATTTATCTGAGAAGATTCTAGGTAAAGTGTTTAAGGCACATCTTGGTTTCTCTTTTCTGTTATAGTAAGATGCAAGAGGGAAATGGATAAATCAAATAAGGAATTGTTAAGCAAAATGAAAATATATCATAAAATTCAGAAAATCTTCAGCCTATCAGTATTGAAAAAAAATAAGA